CCATCTGTGTCTGTCCTTTTAACTGCACTGACGAAGCAAGGGGGTACACGTCGTAGTTCTTTCACTATTGCTGACACAGGGCAGGGAAGCCTAATAGCTATTGCCTATTTAAGGTAAGGCCTGTTGAAAGCTACAGCTCATCTTTTAAAAAAAATCAGTTTTGTGCTTGGTACTGCTATTTCTGAGAAAATGTAAAATAGATGCAAAGAAATATTCTTTATTAAAAGTAACAAGGAACGTGTTTTCAAACCCATTTAGAGTGCAAATCAACTAGTCAAGAGCAAAATGATGGACTCTGCTGGAATATACAATAACTTATCAGCGGCCTCATCCGTCTTTCTCTCTGCCTCAGCCAGCTGGTGCCCAGGACACAGTGGACTCTAGATTTTCATACTGAAGGGTGTACAGCATAAAGAGGGCAGGGCCACCGGGCCACAACCACAAAGCAATGCTCCGATACAGAAAATGGGATCTGTTCGTCTTCCCCAGGTACTGAAAGCCCACATGATAGCTGGTACAACAGGACATCTCTCGAGGAGATTGCTGCTCCAGTATCTCCTGTCTGAGGGGAAGTACTGACATACCCAAAGGCTTCATCATCGTGGAGTTTTGTAAAATGAAGTTCTTTCCCAAAACAGTTTTCATTAACTGCATGCTCCACCTTCCTGCATGGAGACCCTATAGGAGACAAAAGGACGGCAGAGTTTGGATCACTTCGCATTAAGTCCACTATGATACCAGAATCACTGATGCTTCCAAGACAAAATTCAGCCAATTCCTTCAGTGAAGAAGGTGGGCTTGAGCTCCGAAGATGTTCTGAAGGAGCTGCTCCATGTTTAGGCTATACGGCACCATGTCAGTCTGGATGGCCTGTTCCACCATCATGTTGCTGGTTTTCTCCTCCTCCTGGGAAGTCAGCTTTCCAGCCAGAACAATTTCAACGATCTCTTGGTTCACAGCAGAACTGGAGGGAGCTGCATCACTCGACTCTGAGGCTGTGGTGGTCATACTCTCTTCAAATGAATCAGTCCCATTAGCTGTGTCCTCATTAGGAAGCAGCCCACTGTCTGCCACCTCCTCCAGAACCTGGTCCTCTGTGATGAGGCTGTCTGGCATCGTGGCACACAACGCTAGTGGTTTTCCCTCCAAGCCACAGGTGTACTTCAGGCTCACATTGCCGGTTTTCTCCTCCTCCTGGGAAGAAGTCAGCTTTCCAGCCAGAACATTTTCAATCATCTCTTGGTTCACAGCAGAACTGGAGGGAGCTGCATCACTCGACTCTGAGGCTGTGGTGGTCATACTCTCTTCAAATGAATCAGTCCCATTAGCTTTATGTCTGTGAAGTATTTCTGAATTTTTCTGTTTTTCTCAACCAAGTTGTTTTGCATGCTTTCAATAACATGCTTGAGTTCTTCAATTTCCCTTCTTGCTTCCAAGAAGGCCAGCCCCAGCTCCACACGATTACACTCTTCTTCAATCCAGTCTTCCTTCATCCGTCCCAGCTGAGCTTTGAGCTCCTCTATGTCTGTTTCCCTTATGTCTGTGAAGTATTTCTGAATTTTTCTTTCTCAACCAAGCTGTTTTGCATGCTTTCAATAACATGCCTGAGTTCTTCAATTTCCCTTCTTGCTTCCAAGAAGGCCAGCCCCAGCTCCACACGATTACACTCTTCTTCA